GAAGAGCGTGACGTAAGTTACCTACACCCAAACTATGGATATTTGAACTCAGTCTCTCTTAACTTTAGAGACCACACATTTCACCACCACTATGCTTTAGAGCTTCTTCTACAAAACTTGAAAGATAAGTTCACTGCATATTCACTGCTTACTTCCTTTGCAATCAGTATATAACACACACAAACTGCTTTGCTCTCAGTCAAAGGCTTGACTCTTAAGAGCAATGAGTACATGTTAGTTCTCTCAGTCTCCTCCTCCCCACCACCGATCCCTTACAGAAATGGGGTTTCTAGGGTTCTGTTTACCTCTTTTCTCTATGTAATGCCACAGTTTTAAATGTTATAGAAATGACTCCAAAATTTACTTCCTCAAATCCAAATTCACCTCTAAATTTTACACCCACATCTCCAACAACTTGTTGGATTTCTCCATGGGATGTCTCTCTAGTATTTCTAACCGTGTTCCACATGAAATACACCTCCTCTGTCCTCTCCTCTCCTCCCCCTTCCAAATACTCTAGTTTCTGTGTTCCCTGGTGTTGGTAACATGACTATGATGTGCATTAATTCAGGATGCAGGATTCTAGAGGAGCATTAAGACACACTTTCTTGGAACATCAATTTTATTTGGTGGTAAGTAAAACACAACATTATTCTTCTTCCTAGATATTCGCAGGGCTCGATCCCCCACCTCTCTGAAATTCTTGATAAAATGTCACCTTTCCAATGGGCCTACCTGACCACCTCATCTAACACATACCTTTTGCTTACCCTGTCTCCCTTATCCTGCTCTACTCTTTTCCTCTAGCACTTAACATCTACCGACACCCTATATTACTTATCATGTTTGTTATTGTAGTCATTCTCACCTCAGAATGTCAGCTCCATGAAGGTAAAGATTTTGTTTGTTTTTGTTCACCAAATTATCACCACTGAATCTAGAGGAGGTTACACAGTTGTCACTCTATAAATACTTGTATAATAAATGAATGAGTCCATGAATAAATTTTATAGCATAGTTATATTATGGTGTGAACTGCGAACCTTGTATGAATTGAATTGCAACACATCGATAAAAATACCTAAGGTTTTTCTACAACTCGGTATTACATTTTTCACTTACACCAAATTTGTGTAAGTTTTAAAGAAAAACTTCTAACACTACAAAAAAAATGGAAATCAGTATCGTATACTTAGAAAGAAGCTCTAAAAAACTTATGTAATTATTAATATAAATATTACATATATACCACTTAAAATCTGCATTCCACTTGTAGCATATACTGTCCCATATTTGGGGAAATATTCATCTAAGCAATTAACAAGCCTCTAGTTAGGAGATTACTAACTCCTAAACCTGGAAAAGAATGTAGGAACTATCTCACTTTAGAAAAGCAGAAATAAAAGTTGAGAGAGGTTTAAGTGATCTGTTCCCAGTCCCATACTGATAATTATGGGACCACCTTATTATATAGGTTCCCATGACATGTGTTTGTCTGTCTATAACTACATTGTTCGCCATTGGCAGTTAAGCAAATCCTCTCCAGCATTTACCTGCCTCTGATCTTCGGTTTATCTTGAGAATTTCCTTTGCTTTTCTGACCTTTTCACCCTTACAGACAACACTGATCCTGAGTGTTATCATCTCCATGAATGCCTTATATATTTCTCTTGTAGCATTTATTTGTCTTCTTTTGCCTGATATTGGCATCTTTTTGTACTTGTTTTATATTTCCTACTTTTCTGAGCTTCAGCGTACAGAAACATCTTTATTTTAATACTTTCCTTTGATAACACCTCACATTATACCTTTGTAAGAATTTGTGCTTAGTAAGATTTTTTCAGTGAACTATATTGAATCTTATAACCATGTGGGAACAAAGCAGTGGAAAATGTGATGCTGGTGGTCTTTCTATATTATGAGGCCCATCTGTTTGCTATTACCTGTTTCCCACCTGCTGTCATCACTACCACAAAACTCCATCTGCTACTTCTTCTTCTCTTCCAAGCCTGATTTGGCACTAAATCTGTCAGGCTCTACCTCAGATTTGCCTAATCAGCATTACTTTTCCTTAATTATTTTTACTAATTACTAAAGATCTGTTTTATTTTATTTGCCTCTTAGGAGTATCTAAGATTTAAGCAAGGTAACGAATACTGAATTCAGGACAATCTGTCAAAACTATTTGAAAAAAGTACTAAGCAAGCATTTTGGTTTGGAATTGAAGCAGGAGTTACAGATGACCTTGGGAAATCAGTTAACATTTCTGGTTCTTGTTATTATCTCAAGATGAGAGAATTAGGTACAATATCTCTAAGGTCCTTTCTGAATGTCACATCTCTGATAGCAAATATTCATTCTTCGAGACAACCTTAATTTCATCTCAATTCCATTTCCTTCATAAATCTTTCTTGATCTCTGTCCCGATAAAATGAATTTCTTCTTTCAACTCCTACAGTGCTTCTCACCTATTTTATGGTAATACCTTATCCTGAACTGTAGTCAAGTTAGCTGTGTTACTTGAGTCAGCCTTAGTCCATTACACCAACCCTCCTTTATTCGTCAGCTTTAGTAGAGTCTTTGTAACTCCCCCAATGCTTAGCAAAGTGGGTTATAGATAATATTTGCGTTATGCGCTGAATGAATGTTTATTGTCTGAGTAATTTAATGAAGAAACTGAAAAAGTCTAACATCACGATTATTCTGTGCAGAAAGAAATAAAAGCCAAAAATGCAACTGAACTGATTAGATAATTAAAGAAATTTAAGCCAGGGTTATGAATTGCAGTCATTATGGAGAGCAACATTAGAAAATAAATGTTTAAACATAAATAGCAACATATGGTATGCTTAATATGTAAATATAGTAGCCTGTATAGAAGAAGAGGTGATGCCACAGAGTGACCTGGAGCACAGATTCCAGAGATGGATGCCTGACTTCCATCCTGGTTCTGTTACTTTGTATGACCTTGAGAAAGTTATGTAACTCTGTCTCAGCTTTATCATCTGTAACATAGGGATATCTACTTCATAGAGCGATTGTGAGAATTAAATGAGTGCCTGGGATATATTACATGCTCAGTAAATGTTTGCTGTCATTTTACAATCAGTAAAATGACATATTTCAATATGTCTGTCCTTCAATACACAAAATAGAATAATGAAAGCTTTCTCATGAAAGCACTGTGAGATTCTATTTTAGCTCTTGTGAGCATCAAATATGTTCTACCTACACTATTACACAGAACAAAAATATCTTAACTTAAAAATAGCTAAAAAGCACTGGGGTATTTTTAGGTGACCTGGATTCTTACCCATCCCAAAGCAGTTTATTTTTCTAGTTTGGGAATCCTGCAATATTTGCTTGTTAAAAACTGGCATAATCTGAGCTGCACATTGTACTTATCTTAATGAATGCATATCATCCATAAAATTAACAAGCATGAATACTTTCCTTTAATGCTTCAGGAAAAAAATCTATGATATTCTTCGGAAACATATTCTTTTCGGAGATAATCAAATGATTTTACTGAATCTGTCATTTAATATTAATTCTGTGAGACTGAAGTTAGTGATTAGGGCACAGACCGGGGTTTGCATTCTGGCTTTACCACTATCTAGTGATATGAGACTGAACGTTTGATTTCTTCTTTCTAAATCTCAGCTTCTCCATCTGTGCTATGAGAATAATAACTTCCTTACTCAAAAAGTTGTGGTAAGGGTTAAATAAGATCACATAGAAGGCACCGAACATAGTGTGTGACAGAGAATAAATGATCAATACATGGTATAGCTATTATTACTTCTGATGAAATACACTTGCCATTATATCAGCAAAATGGTAAATTTTAAATCTGTCTAGGCATACTGCATTTCACAAAGAGATTCCAGGTTTCTGCAATACCAACTGACTGATTTTTTTTCTTTTCTTTTCTTTTTTTTTTATGAAAGGCAAAATTTTACATAGGGGGTTAGTCTCTTTAATCAGGCTTTACATATCCTGTGCTAATAATATCACCACAACGAGTCTCACTATATCACCTCTCTTGTTGCTGAAAGACTGATGGTCCACAGAATTACTGCTCTAAATATAGGCAGTTATATTTTCTGAATAATAGAGAAAAGAGCGAGATGTTATGGGAGGGAAATAAGAGTGTCGTTGAAGAGGTAGGATCTCCACCATCTTGCCCAGTGGAAGACATATCAGCTCTGACAGCATCTCCACCTGACAGCATCTAGAGTTGAGGGGCTGCTTCAAGGTCAGCATATACATTTACATCTGCCTTTCTGGCTTCACTTTTCTGGCTTCTCACTTCATTGACCACTGCAGGATCAAGTCTAGGAAAGCCTATTAAAAATTCAACAACACAGCAGAATTCAGTGATATAACAAGGTGACTTTTCAGGCAACTGAAATGATAAGAAATGTCTCTTGTAAAACAGAATTATAACCTAAGCAGTTTGAGACAAAATATTTTTATAAGACTTTTTTTATGTAGATAAGGTAGTGATTTAAGATTGTAAAGTGCCAAAGTTAAAAAAAAAAAAGCTATCCCAGATTTAGCAATGAACAGAGAAATGACCTCTAATTTTTGTGACCCTCTTGAGCTCTGCTCTAATTTACAATGTTCTCGTTTGCAGCTCACTGAGCTGTGTTTGTGTATATCTTTTTATTTCCACACAAAAGTCATGCTCAGAAGCTCGCACACTGTTTTAAAATGTCATGCTGTCAGATGCCATTTTCCTAAGATATAACAGATCTATGATATCTTCATATATTTTCATAAATGGCTCCTATGCATAGAGAAGACTTTATGAGGCCAAGGTTATCGTAAACTTCTATTATGAAACAACTCATTACCTATTAGAAGCCCCGGTCACCTGGTCTGTGCATGTCATGCTCGCACACTGTTTTAAAATGTCATGCTGTCAGATGCCATTTTCCTAAGATATAACAGATCTATGATATCTTCATATATTTTCATAAATGGCTCCTATGCATAGAGAAGACTTTATGAGGCCAAGGTTATCGTAAACTTCTATTATGAAACAACTCATTACCTATTAGAAGCCCCGGTCACCTGGTCTGTGCATAGAGAAGAAGAGCACAGAGAATTGTCATTAAAGAAAAATGAAATAGATCAAAAAGATGGAGTGAGAGACATTTGCCTAGCTCTATAACTTAAAGGTACTGGAGTATAACCGTATCTCATTTATATTAGGTCATTAAGCCAAGGAAGGTTGAGGAGCAGTAAGAACCTTGGCATTTAAAATACATAACCGTTTATTTTTCTCACTCTCTCAATTCTTCTCCCCCTCCTTTTCTCCCTCTATCTCACTGTCTTCTTCTATTTCTCATGTGAAAACTCTTTATTATTCAAAGGACAAAAGCAAACCTCTTTGAGAAAAAATAAAACGTCTCTTTTCTTCTAATTCATTATTCTTTTACAGTTGTGAAAGCTACTGTATGATCCTGGTACCACAGAATAGCACTGAGTAGTATTAGCATTCTAATAGATATTTCCTCAATTATAAGATGATATAGATATAGGTATTTGCTTCGATTATAAAAATCATCTATTGAGAAGCTATTTCAAACCATCTTTGTATGGGAAGGTATAAAAATGGTTAGATTTGAAACTGTTTATAAGCTGAATTCATTCCAGGATTCTAGAAAGTTAGAGATGTGGAGAGTAGCCCAGCAGAATCCTTTTATCAAAGGATGGAGAGGTCTTGGAGGTTGAGCTCATTCTAAGAAGAGAGATGGGTCTAGAAGGTGGGTGACATCTAGGAAGATGGGCTGGAGCATCAGGGTGAAAATGATTCTGGGACAAGATGGTATTGGAAATGCAAATTATCAGTTTCTCAGCCTCCACTGACTCATTTCCTGAGAGCAGCCTCCAAAGTCTGCAAGATGAACTGTGCTCCCTCTAATATTTTCCTGCAGAGCATCCATAGTCCCCTTACTAGTAAAGTTTTAGTATTTCTTGGTGTGTTTACTTGCTTAATGCCTGATTTTCTATTTGACCAGAGGCTCAAGAACTCAGGGATCATATCTATTTTGATTTCCTAGCCCATGTGCTTATTGAATGAATGAGCAGGTGAATGCATGAGTTCTACGGGGAAGGGGGGCTTTAATTAAAAGATAGAATAAAGAACAAAATATCAGCTACATTGAGAACAAAATTCAACATCTCTGTTAGTTTTAATCACATTCATAAGAGTAGGACGGGCACACTTGGTGCAGATATCTGTATCTCGGGCCTCAAGCATTAAGAACTTTCTCTCAGACATTAGTTGCCACCACCAGCAGCAAAGATGCTGTCACTGGGAAGGGGGAGAGTAGGAGAACATAGCCACACCTTTGCTCTTAATTGCAAAAGAGAAAGTAATCAAGGAGAAAAGAGCTTCATGCTTTGAAGAGAGAAAAATAGCCAAGAAGATTATTTTTAGACTTCATATAAGACCCCCACTCCCAACCCCCCCAGGAAACTCTCAGAAATATTTGGGAACTTTTTGAGAAAAGCTCAAAATTTACATAACTTTGTTTTGAAATTATACAATCACACTTAGAAAACATTAACTGATAGATTGTTAAGAGAGAAAAGCAGTTTATAGATGAACATGTGTAATTTACTGCTTCTATGTGTATGCACATGTTGGAAAGGACAGGAAATTTATTTACAATATATTTAGAGTAGTTATTTTGAGAAGTGAGATTATAAGTGATTCTATCTATCTTTCTCTATCCATATTTCTTTTGTTTTTTTAAAAAAAACATTGTCCTATTTTTATTTTATTGTGCTAAGTGAAAAACCATCGTGTAATTGTAATGAATCTGTAATATAGTTTTGTTACACTGTATGTTTATTGCAGCACATGAGGAAAACATAATTCCTATCCAATATGATACAGTTATCATTGCATGTCACACATAGACACACTGATCTGTGAGTTCATGATATATGGTGTTCTGTATTTCTAATTTTCCCCTATTGAACAAGGAATCTTTACGCTTATAAATATTTTAAGAGTTTTAAAAATGTACTTCTCTGATAATAAAGGAAAAACGAATTATGCTTATTTTACTGTGCTAACCTGAGGAATAGAAAGGAAAAGGAAAAAGAGGACAGGATCACTTACAAAAGCAGAGACATTATGACCAAGCAACATAACATGAAGATACAGTACGTATTTCTTATATGTTTTTCTGCAGGTGAGCACTTCCATTTCCAGCCCATCCATCTATGATTCCTATTTAAGCAGAAAATAAAGGCTTCCTGGGGAAAAAGAAGTGGATATGATAAATGGAAAATGGAGTTGGATAATAAACAACAATATGCAGCCTTCTATCTAGAGTAGGTAGGAATAGTTCTATCAAAAACACCATCTTCCAATGGGCGACATGGCACATGGCTCATAGGCACCTTTTTGCCTTGTTGATAGTAGCTCTTCTGCCTAGAATGTGCCCTCTGCATTTTTTGTTCTTGCTCCTTCTTATAGGTCAAAAGAGAAGCTGACATATGCTAGCTTTTGACTATGCCCTGAGGAATCTGTTGCCATCAAAAGGGTTAACAATTTGAAGGGTCGAAAAATGAAGAAAACTCCTCAACAGCTGTTTTCAAAACAAGAAAAGCCAAAGATTGACTGCTTTTACTCCACTCCATCTCTGGTTTTTGCTTCCATCAAGTTGTCTCAGCTTCAGTGGCATGATTAAACAAAAACAACAGCAGCGAATACAGGATTTGCCAACCCAAAGAAACAGTGATCCTTCTTGAGTACCTCTTCTTTACTGTGCTAGACCCTGGACTAGCGAGGAATAATTTAGTATCTTTGAAGGCAAAGCTTCAAGCCTCTTAAAATGCAAACCGATGAGTCACTGAGGAAGAGAAGTTTGCTTTACCTTAAGCAGTTTCCACATCTGATGCTCTCAATTTCTCTTCATGCTCTGTGGCCTTATTCAGAGTATTTCCTCTACCCACAAAGTGGCTCAACATCCGATGGCATGAGAGTGTGTCATCTGTTAATAATTTGCTTAATAATATCTCCCCCTAATGGTAACTAAAGACCTTAAAAAAAATGAAAAACAAAGTTGTCAGTCTGTGGAAAGAAGATGGGAAAATTAAAATATATGCAGAAACGGTGATGATCATAAAGACCATATCTAATTAGCATGCAGAGGGACTTTGGAGCGACTTTTCAATAATGACCAAGTTCCTCTTCTCTTACCAATCCTTTAAAGCCTAAGCACTTCATCAAATACCTTCCCCCAGTCCACCATAACCACTCCAGACAGATAAGATCTTCTCAGTTTGGGAACTCCCATAGCACTTTGGTCTTGCACCAGAAACACAACTGTGAATATTAAAACTCACTGTTATAGTTACATGTGCTCTTGCTGTGATTCCAGATACAGTGCAAGCTCCTCTCTTAAGGAGTATGTCTCATTCAGATTGGTACTCACAGCTCCTAGTTTAGTTTCTTAGTTACTTAAGAAGCTTTAATAATGATCGTGAATGTTAGTAATTCAAAGAGAGATTAAGTAACTTTTGCTGTCATATAGCTGACTAATGTTATAACTAAGAACCCACATTTCTAATTCTTACACTTACAAGTTCACAGATACCTACTGTCTTCCTGAAGTATAACTAATCATGCTCAAAAACCAAATAAAACTTCAATGGCTCCCCAACACTTAAAGAACTCTGGACTCCCCTTCTAATCTGTTCATCCAGTCTTTTCCATCTCTACCCCATTCCATAAATCAAAACACAGGAATCATTCTTGATTCTTCTCTTTTTCTCGTATTCTTCATGATTAAGTCATATCAGATCTGCTTTCAAAATATACCCCAAATCTGGATACTTCACGTTACTTCTTCTCTTACCTCCCAAGTCCAAGGAACCAGCACTCATTACTCAAATATTCATATAGCCGCCTTGTTAATTACTGAAAATTTTCTCTCTGTTTCTAGCCTTACCCATCTCTAATCCATTTTTCACATAAAAGACCAATTGGATTGACTTTTCAAAAACTGTCAATCATACCTCAAAATATCCCCATTTAAAATATTCCATTACCTTTCATTGCATTTAGGGAAATACACAAACTCCTAACCATGACCTAGAAGGTCCTCTATGAGCTAGCCCCAGTTAAACGTGTAAATTAAGCCACATTTGTCTTTGCTTCTTTCATCCCTCTGCTTAAATTTCTTCTTTCCCTCCATTTCACCATTTTTGGAGGGACTCTGCAGATAACCAGGTGGGTTGGTACATAATTTTATCTACATTTCACTTAGGTTGGCCAAGTGCCTCAGAATGATCTGAATAGTTAATATAAGAGGTTTCAGCCCATGATATAAAAAAAAAATTTAATAAAAAATTAACTTCCCAATTAAGCAAAGTGTATTATTATCACGACCTGGCATGCTTTGGAGACAGACATTTTCCCTGGAAAAGGCTTTTGCACTTACTTCCTGGGCCAACACCTCATGTTTCTGGGCCAATTTGCTATTTGGATGTTAATCTTATTGACACCTCAAGACAGGTGTCTCTTGCAGAGCAGCCTGGGAAGACATGACTCCTGCTTCATAGTTGGTATTTTCCACCAGCCAGAATTCAGGACACTGTTATATTATTATTTTTCTTGATTCTCATAGAATACAAGGCAGTTCAGTAGCTTTATTGAAAAAAAAAACAAGTGTAAAAATCTTTGTAAAATTTTTACTTTTAAATTTTCATTTAGTTTAATAACTTTGTTTTTCCTTTGCCTTATCTTTCTGATATATAAATAGAATTGACTTTTCAAAAATTGCCAATCATACCTCAAAATAGCCTCGATTCAAATATTACATTCCATGTATATAAATATGTGTATGTATGTATTTGTTGTTGTTGTTTTCTTCATATCCAGCACCTAGAACAGTGTCTGGCACATCACAGACACTTAAAAAAATATTCGTTGAATAAATTATTTTCAACATAATTTGAGAAAAGGAATGATAGTAAGGTTGTCACTGTAAAAAAGTATTTCTACATTATGGAAGAACTACTTAGAATTTAAAAAAACTTTACCTCCGAAATGCTGCATGTATCCACAGATGCCTTCAAATATTCAGAGATCTTTCCTACTAAAAATCCACTTGTAATGTTCTTATTTGGACTTACTCTGAGAAATCACTATTCTTGACCAGACACAGAGAATACAGCAACTCTTCTTAACCACTTAAAATTTAGTCAAGCAGTGTCTCTATATACTTATATGAAAAAGCCCTCAAGGAACCCACATCTACATCTGAGTAATTTTGTCCTTTGTTAAATATTTGATTCCTCGGATATGATGTGCATATCCTTTGAGGTAGGAACTCATCTTGATAATTCATGATGTTTTCCTCATTCCCACCCCCAGAAAAACTATTGCCTCTCCAAATTTGGTAAAATTGATGACATATTCTGTTGCAATTTGGGGGCATCTTCTGAAATGGAAAGGATTTATTACAACCTGAGTATTTCATTTTTCTATGAATTCAATAGATTTAGTTTTGAGTCTGTAAGTAAGGAAATTTGGTGATCTTTAAAACTTATCTACTTGCAAAAAAATATTAAGTTCATAAATGTTATATAATCTATTGCAAACTATTAATACAGTGTAGATTATTGTCAAGATTCCAATACTGTATATATGTTTTTCTACACATTTTTACATTATGCCCAGGGCTTTCACTGAGACCATCTGGCAATACTCATTTTCTTGCCCTTTTTTCCATCAGTGCTGAATTGTGCTGCTTCCCATTTCCTTGGCCATGTGCCCCCTTAATGAACTAATTTAAGGTCTCAGGGCTTAATGTGATACTACTTCTAGATTACCTTGTGTTTTAAAAGTTGCCTTCAGTGCCGTAACCTCAAAGATGAATAGGAGAAGGAATTACTAGCACAAAAATGATATTACTCTGGGAATTACTTCCTGGAGTCTCTCAGATTCACCAAGATAAGTAAATGGAGCTAGGAGAGGTTTTGCTTTTCAAAAACACAAACCGTATGTGTGTGGAATTTAGTAGAATAAGGACAGCAGATACAACTTAAACTTTTTTGAGTTACTGAAAGTAATTTCAAGAAAAAATTCCTTAAAAAATGTCTTTACACACACACACACACACACACACACACACACACTTTAGCACAGATTGCCTAAAAATGATTTCAGAAGTTAACGACGCCAGATGGCAGTGAGGTGTAGAAGTTTTTCAATATAACCATCAGGAAAGCAGTTAAGAGTTGAAGTTAACTTCTTTTTAACAGATGTATAGTTCAAATAGCTGTTACACTGTTAAAAAAGAAAGAAGTGGAGAGAAGAGGAGAGAGAAAAGGAAAGAAAAGAGAAGAAAAGAGAAGAGAAAAGAAAAGAAAAAAGAAAAGAAAAAAATAACAGCGGGTCTACGGTCATGCCACCCTGAACAGGCCTGATCCTGTCTGATCTCGGAAGCTAAGCAGGGTCAGGCTTGGTTAGTACTTGGATGAGAGAACACCTAGGAAGACCAGATACTGTAGGCATAAAAAATAAAAAGTAAGGGATTATAAACTGACAAAATCCTTGCAATCTATGAGGTCAACCAAGGGTTGCCTCACCTAAAAAAAATAAATAACAGTGGGGTAGTTCCTATGACACAGAATCTCTCAAAGTAGATAGTACTGATAATTCGATGTTTCAAATATGCATTACTGGAACAAGTTCTTAATGGGAAGACACAACACACTTGCGGAATTACCAAAAATAATAAACTCAATGGTAACATCAACAGATTGGATTCTTGTGAATCCTCTGAAGTTGTGAAATAGTCATGAGACAACATAAAGTGAATTTTTAAAATTAAAAAAAAAAAAGAGAAACAGCTGAATGAACAGCTTCACCAAATATGGCAGGTCAATATCTCACTCACATCACATCTGAACAGTTAAAAACACACTTTTAACAAGTTCTCACCAATTTTGTAAAAATATATATAAATTTTCTTAATGTTTCTCGTTGACCTAATAGATCATTGACATTCCAAATCCAGACTGATAGAGGCAATTAGATAAAACCAATAAGAATTGTGACCTCTAGTTGCTTAAAAACAAGTGGAAAAGATATGGTGCATTCATACATATGAATGGATTTGTAGAGCTGTCATGCAGGGTTGGGTAAATTGGGCAGTGCGCATCCTGCGTGGTCATTTGGACAGCCTGTAAATAAAGTGATAGACAAAGCAGAGAGAAGTTCTTCCATGTGGAAGATCAGGAAAAACTTCCTGGAAGAGGTGATGTTTAAGCTATGCATTGGCGGAAAGGATTTAGACACACAAATGTTAGAATGTTAGTGAGAGGATTTCAGTTGCAGGAAACAGGCTGCTGCTGACACCAGTGGCCCGGACCCTGCTGATTGATCTTGGTCCTGTGTGATGTGGTCAGGGTGTGTCGCTCTGGCCTGACCTCTTCATGGGTTTCCTTTTCGTACCTGCTGATTTTTTGCCTCATGCTCCATCTCCATCTGCACCCACTTTGGCTCAGCTAACTCATTCGCAGGCCTCAGATTAGACTTTACTACCTATCGTCCACCCCCCACCCCATCCTGAGATAAACACTACTCCATATGCTGTGTCGTCACACTTATCATATGTGTTTTGAGTAGTATCTGGATCCCCAGTGGAATTGTAGGCCCCCTAAGGGCACAGATTGCACTTACCTCATTCACAATTAGTTCTTCAGTGACTAATATAGTGCACGATACTTAGTACGTGCTGAGTAAACAATTTTTATACTGCTTACATGATGATATTTTGCTATATCAAATTAAAATGTTTGTAAGAAAGAGAGAACTATGTTATATATTAGGTTTTCTGTACAATACAACTTCTTTCAAAACTGCCTTGATATTAATAAAGGAGAAATTATAAATAGTAAGATTGCTTATCCTTTAATTTTCAAAACTCTGCTTTTAGAACATTATCCAACTAAATTAAACAAATCATATCCCCACCCCATTAATCTCCACATGGCAAGAATACAAAAATCAATGTGTTTCAGTTATTTTGAAGGTATGGAGAGTATATGACAAGCTAAGGAGTTTGGACTCCATCCACTGATTTATCCATTCAAAATTTATTCACTTCATGCCAGGACTGTTCCAGGCTCTGGGGACACAATCAGAAATAAGACAAAAAAGACTTCAGAGAGGTGTTGAGCAGAAGGAAATAAATAAGTAAACAAATAATCAGAAAGATTTGAGGATAGCAAGTGTTATTGAGAAAATAAGATAGGGTCTGTGCTAAGAGATGGGAACATGAGAGAACCTACTTCAGGTGTTCAGAGAAGGCATTTCTGAGGAAGGCGCACTTAGCTTGAGACAAAAATGACAAGAATGAAGCAGGTATAAGAAGAATTTAGGGGGCCAGTAACATAAAGTTTTAAAAGACAGTTCAAATATTTAACTTTAAGGAAATGTACAGCCATTGAATGCCAGTGATAGGTATCATCCAGGCTGCTGCAGAAATCCCTGCACCCCATCTCTCCCCTCCCCCCACAGAATCACTGCTCGTTTAGCTTAAAAACAACACTTCGGGGTAAGAGGAGGCAAGTCCTTGAAATGGGGGAGATGAGATAGAGTTTTTTATTTTTTATTTCAAATGCCATTCCCCATTTTCTTATTTAAATGACTCAAGAATTTTCCTATTTTGTCCTTTCAACCTTGAACCAGTCAGACTTCTTCCTTGCAAACCACTGAAACTGACCCTAGATAATGTAAGACAGAAATGGATTATTGGAAGAATATAAAGATTTTATTAACTGATGAAAATACTGGAGAATCAGCTTAAAAACCTGACAGGAAACAAGGGGCCCTAGCGAGCAGAGAACATAGCCAAGGCCCTGACGGGAGCATCTGCTTAGGACACAGAGCTGGATGCCTCTACTACCTGATCCACACTCCTGGCATTACCATCAGTTGCTGCTAGCCACCAGACCACTAGATTCTTGACCCACTCCAGCACCATCACTTCCAAGGAAAATCTCTCAATATCCTTTGATTTTTGCATCCTTTCCTCTAGATTCAGATTCCTTGGCAGAAACCAAGAAATCCAGTTGGCCAGGTCTAACTCATATACCTACACCTTCATTTTCTCATCTCAAAAATGGGCACGTGGGTATCCATCTCACAGCGCTACTGTCAAGTAAACATAGAATATGACAATAGCTGTTATTTATGTTGTTTTCATTCCTATTCCTATTTTGAGCCCTTAGAACATGGGTTTTTGGGGGGATAAGCGAAGTACCTGTTGATGCCTTTATTTTTGCCTTATTTTCTTTTTTATTTTTAAGCCCAGGATCAGCCTAAAAAAAATTAGAGTTTACAAAGTGTTGTTCTCTAGAACAGAGATTTTCATTCTCAGCACTGCTGACATTGTGGGCTGGGTGCTTTCTTGTTGTGGGGCTCACTTTGTGCATTAAAAGATGATTAGCAGCATTTCTGACTGCCAGTATCTCTCCTCCCCTCCCCCCAGTTTGACAACCCAAAATGTCTCCTGGGGGTAAAATCATCCTGGTTGAGAACATCTGCTGGGCACCTGACCAGGTGATTTACATCTATGCTACTCTGTCTTCGCCATGAGGCTTTTTGCCTAAACACTA